GTCCACAGCTTCCAGGGTTCTCTCATCACAACGGCTCCTCCTCCTGGATCGGTTAGGCCCTCGCCTCTTGGGAGTTACTCCCCGGTCCGACTCCAGGGAGCACCCAGCTCCGGGACCTGCTCCACCTGCACCCCCAGCCCTAAGCCAACGCACAGCCTCTCCTGCCCCCTTTCAGCTGGCCTCGGCCCCCTGCAGACCCCGCCCACGATAAAACAGGCGGGGGCATCAGCGCCGTTACCCCCTACTCCTCCTCCTTCATCGCTGGGGCTGAAGAGAGGGGCGGTGCCACCGACGCTGCCAGCAGTGCAGGGACACTGTTTCCGCCGTGGAGGGCTGCCCGGCTTACCAGCACTTCACAGTGACTCTCTGAGCCCACTGGGCTGCCTCGACTCTGCGAAGCACGAGGAGGGAAACAAAGGGCACGCAGCCAGGACACATAATGGTACGCCCATGAATAAATCTCACGTTTCCGTTAAAAACTATTCATTAAATCCCTGATGAGAAAATGCTGTTTTGAAATAGCTGTTCACACTTTGCTTTCACTTTGTGACTGAGGCCATCTTCCTCTCGTCGTCTCTCATGCCTTTACATTTCCCTTCTTTTAACTGTCAGCCCTTCGTTACAGAATCGCTCAGCAGGTTTTGTCCTGACGCAGTTGGTTTATAAAATCTGCATTGAATTAAAGTTCTGTTGATTTGCTGTCAAAAAGAAGCTCCTGTAGATTCTTACTGTTCTCTTTTTCTCTTCTCTCCCTTCATGCATGAACTTAAATGTTTTCCTGTCCTCCCGTCACCTTTTCCACACGCCCGTCTTCATCTGCTTTGTTCCTGCGTATCATTTCCATCTGTCTCATCAACAAACCCTAATCCGACCCCTTTATCGCAACCCTAACACCTCCCGTCCCACAACAGCACACCACCTCTCTCCTCAGGCTCTCAAATGGAGGGAGTACCGCCGTCGAAACCCTCTGGGAGTGGAGAGGGTGTCGGGGTGCCATGCTTCTGCTGGATTGGGGCCGCGACCTGCCAGACGCAACGTTTTCGATTTCCCTTCGGTCCCCTCTGGCCACAAGCTGGGACGACTCAATGGTGCTCAAAAATCTGTTGGCACTGTTGAGACCTGCAAGAATATCAAATATTTAAAAAATAGACTCAGATATTTTAAGTACTGGCTCATAGAAGTGTGCTCCTTACCTCGATGCGTCTAATAGTGACTTCGTGTGTGTCTCAGCAGTGGGCCAATCAGCTAAGCTGCAGCAGAGCTACAGCGACTTCCTGTCCGACTACTTTTCCCTGACAGAGAAGCCGCCTGAGGAGTTCTGCCTCTCCCCGGACGCCTCCACCTCCTCCTCTTTGTGCTCGTCCTCGCAGTCTCACATCTCTGTTGACCTGACGCAGAAGAGAGGTGGGGGCTCTGTGTGTGTGTGCGCGCCTATGTGTGTGTATCCTATCTTTGTGGAGCCCAAAAATTGGAAGTTTACTAAACTTGTGGGGACCGAAACCCCAGTCCCCACAAGTTTGAAGGAGTGTTTCTGACTCCAAATGTGGTTTTAATGTCAGGGTTATAATTAGGTTAGGTTTAGGGTTACTGCTTACCGTTTTCCACACACCAACAAGCGGGTCTTTATTCTAAGAAAGTGTGATGGTGTTGTTGTGCCTCTGGGCTCACAGCCTGCAGGGATCTCCCAACATTTATAAATATCACCGTCTGTGAGTGATACAGAATTAATCGATTTGTTAGGAGAGTTCACACTAAATTCAAGCTCCCTTAAGTCTTTCATACAGAAGTGCACTGTTCTCCTTTTTTCTTTTCCTTATCTGGTAACTGAATAAGAGTGTGATTCAGGGATTTAACTGTTTTTCACTCTAACAAAAGCTGCTGCTGGTCTAAGCGTTAATCAGTTACACGTAAAGAAGAGCTGAAAACCTCCAGAAACGGTG